CTTCAGGAGTATGTGGACCAGCACTTAGGCAGGTAAGCTTTCGGAAAAGTGGGATGGGTGTGGATCTCAAACACTAGAGGCAGGGCTTGTCCACGGCCTGGCAGATTACTAAGGCTGGTCCCTCTGAGCAGGTACAAGCAGGAGATCCTGAGGCTGAGGAAGCTGGTGGGTCCAGGAGACCCACAGAAAGTGAAGGCCGTACCTCCAACCAAGCCTCAGCGCCCAAGGACCCGCAGCCGCTAACCAGTATCAGATAAACTCGGAGCACACCTCTTCCCGGCCAGCAGGGAACCCTCCCCACAGCCCCAGCTTGGGAAGTCATTGAACCCAACCCTCCACACAACAAGAGGCAGGTGGAGCCTACAGAGTCTTTATTGTAGCCACAATGCAATGGTCAGCAGCCTGAGGGTCAGGGGCCCTAGGGACCAAGGCAGAACTGGGTGCTGGAGCAGCCTGCCCACCTGGCCCACCACCATGGACGTCATAGGCCCAGACACGGTCCAGGCCCTCACCCACCACAGCCACAGGCTGCCAGGTGGGGAGGGGGAAGCGTCCCGACACCACGCGGGCCCCCTCAGGTAGTTCTGCCTGTAGCTTTCCCTCCAGCAGTGGGAGCTGTGGGAGAGAGCAGGAGTGGGGTGGGCAGGGCGGAACACAAGTGCCCCCTCCCAGCTCCTCCAGGCCCAGCACATACACTGGTGGCCTGGGCCTCCCCTGGGGCTACCAAACCCTACACCTACCACGCTGGGGGCCAGGAACACACACACGTTGTGGCAGTCCCTCAGGCTCACCTGTGGGAAGAGGAGGTCACCCCAGTAACGAATGGAACTCGAGCCCTGGAAGCGCTCTAGTGGGCATGGGGTTACCTCAGCTTCGGAGTGCAAGCCCCAGCTTGCCCAGGAGGCAGGGACACCTGGGGCTGTCAGCAAGGTCGCCACGCCAGAACTGAAGCGTGGAGATCAGGTGTGGGGTCTGAAGGAGTCCAAGACTCCCCAGGTTACCTTCCAGAGATCCTCACGGTGGTAGCAGACACTGCCGGCACAGCCTGCCCTCCAGGCATGCAGCCTGGCCAGCCCCACCAGCCACGGGTTCAGCTCATAGCCCACAGCGGGGCGGAGACCGCATCTGTGGGCAGCCAGCACCTGTGCGCACCAACAGCGTCAGAACCGGCAGGTTGGGAGAGAGCAGGGAGCGTGGCCCCCGCCCCGCCCACCACTGCTTACAATCCTGCCATCGCCAGAGCCCAGGTCCTCCAGCTTTTCATAACGTCCTCGCAGCAGCGACAACACGTGCTCCACCTGCCGCACACTCGCCCCAACATAAGGCACCTGGTCAAGGAGACATGTGGCTGGGATGGCTGGAGTCCATTAGCCACTCAGGTTCTTCACACGCCTGGTCCCCTAATCTGAATTTTACTGGTGGCTGCGTATTCTTTTTTTCTGTTCTCCTTCTTC